GACGCGCGGGCGGCGCGCGAGCGACGAATGCGCGACGCACCCCTTGTCGCGAAGGGGGGGTCAGCGCGCTGGTCGTATTGCTGGGCCATGACGCTTCTGATGCAGAGACTTATCGCAGGGCGGCTTTCATTGGCGTTATTTGCGCGAGTGGGGGCGAGCGCGCAGGGCCCGCTCTGATCCGAGTGAAGAAACCATTGTTTTCTGTTGCGCAACCGGCCAGTTTGCGATTGTTTTAAGCTGCAATGGGTGGCGTTGGATGCGAATCTTTTGATGCGCGACGTTATGGGGCAGTGCGCAGTCGGTGCTTCGCGGCGCGTCTATAGCTTCGTTCGTTCGAGGGCTTCCGCGCCGACGCTGAGTTGGTCGGATGTTTCAAAGCACTTGTGTTGTCCTACCTTGTCCTTTTCCTTTGCCCCCCCCCGCCTTTTTCCTCGCTCTTGTGCTCGTGGGCAACAAGTCTTTGAGCAACCGTTTACGGCGGCTGATTATTCCCGCACTCTGCCATAGGTATGGTGAACGTATGCAGGAGTCTGTCGTTGAGGCACGTTCTGTACAGGACTTCCAGAGTCGCTTGCAGCGCCGCCTGCGCGCGCGTGCCGTTCAATGCGAAGACTGCGAGGATATTGGTTTCTGCCGGACACTGTTCGCGTCTCACCCAGTTCTGGCTTGCCAGAGTTGGAGTGGATCTCGTTTCTCCCTTTCTTCTTCCCCCCCCCCCTCCCTCCCACTCCCTCCCTCGTCCCTTTCGCCTGCTGTCATGTCCGTTTGTCGGTTTCTTATTGTTGTCCTGCTGTCCGCTGCGTGTGTCTGGCAGTTTTCATCCCCGAGGTTTGTGTCGTAGTCGTCTTTGGTTTCAAGCTTCGCCTTGTGATGCGTTAGTGCAGTTTCAGGGGCGGGTTTCATTTTTTGCGCGGGTCTCTGTGGAACTCGCGAAAACTTTCTTTGTGGCAATTTGGAGCCAGGTTGGCGGATTCGGTGCGTCGGCTAAGAGGTTCGAGGGTGAGTGGTTGTCGAAGACAACTCGAGAAGTCGACCGAGTCACGTCCCGAGGCTTGGTTTTTTTTTGTCTTTCCAAAACGATTCGATTTGGGATTTTTTTTGTTGGCACCCCCGAGGAGTGAGATTTTCCGGTGGTGCATGTTCATTGCGATTACGAGCGGCAAGATTTTCCTGAGGGATCTCCGAAGGGCGGAATCTCCGGGGTGTCCGACATTTTTCAGGATAGATTAGAAGGTATTCGGATGTAGGACAACATCTTCTGGGACATCTGTTCCCGGAGATCGCCGACGGGGCAAGATTTGCCAGGGGATTTCCATTGATATTTCCGAGGGGCAAGATTCCCGGGGGGATTTCTCGGAAGATATCCCAGAAATTTCCGGTGCAAGATTTTCGTGGATTTTTCACCGAGGTTTCCGCAGGGGCGCGATTTCCGGAGGGATCCCAAGGGGCAGTATTTTCCAGAAGATCTTGCCGCGGAGATTTCCGAGGGGCAAGATTCCCCAGGGGATTTTCGGGGAACATTTGCGAAGCGATGTCCGAGGGTCAATATTTGGTTGGAGATAAGTTTGAGGTCTGTGGGGCGTCCAAGGTTTATTTTGGAGGTTTTGGGTCGGACAAGGGGCGCGTCGTGATAGCGACAATTTGATGCAAAAGCGGCCTCGTCCGCGCAGATTGCGGTTCGCACATGTGGAGTAGGGGTTTGCATGTTCGATTTTCAGGCAAAAGCCCCAAGATTGCATGTGTTCTGGTGTGTTTAAGTATCAGCTTGAATCGCATATTGCGAATAGTTAGCACAGCTATCACGACGACTTGCAAGCTCAGGGATGGTGCCAATAATCGCCGCGCCTTTCAATTTTGTGACAAAACTTGGTTAGTGTGGGCATCTTCCCAAAGTGGTTGCGATATTCCATCTGTTGTTGCGTCCCAGTCGGGTTGTTTTCGGATGTGCCCGCTTTGCGCGGGATGATATGACCAGGTTTGTCTTCTACAGAAGGGTAATGGCATATTCGGGTGAGATTTGTGGAATCCCACAACATCGCATGAATATGTCAGTGCAAAGGTTTATATGTATATATATATATATATATATATTTATATATGTATATATATATATATATATATATATATATATATTCTTCAAAATGTATGTATGTAAGTATATATGTATGTATATGTTCTCGTTTCTGTATTTGTAGTTGCAGATACTTTTGTATTTGTATTTGTGTGCATCTGTAGATGTCTATGTATACACACGTGTTCGCAGCTGCTCTGGTGTCATATGCTGCTCACGCTTGTTGCGACATAGTTTCTTTGTCATTGGTGTTCAATGACACGCTTGACCCTGCCGTTCATGTTGTTTTTGGCCGTGTGATTGGTTCAATGGAATACATGTCCGTAGGTATGTATATGTACAGATACATACATGTAGATGCATACACGTATACACATACTACACATTCACAAATAACATACATTTGCATTATGCGCATTTGAAATTCCCATTTCGTCTGCTATCGTTGTCTCCCGTGTTTCCGTTTCAGTTGCTGCCGTGGCGGGGGCCGCGGCGATGGAGGCCCTCGCGGAGCGCGTGCGTCTCGTGGAGGGCGAGGTGACACGGCGCCGCGAGGTGCTCGCGGAGAACGAGAATCTGCGGCGGAGACTGGACGCCGCGGAGCAGCGTCTGGCGATGGGCGAGCAGCGCGCTGGAGAGCGCGACGGCGGCGAAGCCGCAGCAGCAGCGCCAGGTCCGAGCAGCGGGCAGGTCGTGGGCGCGAGACTGCTGAACAAGCCGCGGACGTTCACGGGCTTGCACCCGGAGTGGAAGATATGGTCGCTCGACTTCGAGGCCTACGTGTTCGCGGTCCACCCCCGACTGGAGGACTTGCTCAACCGGGCGTCGAGAACGGCGGATGTGCTGACGGCGTAGACTGAGCTGGACGCCACACTCAACACAGAATTGCACTACATCCTGGTCTCGGTGACGTCGGATGTGGCTAAGGCCGAGGTCAGGAAAGCCCCGCGACGAGACGGGCTCGCTGCGTGGTGGTACCTGTTTCGAGAGTTCGCGCCGAAGGAGGCGAACAGGTTCGCGTCCATGCTCGGTCGGATCAGCCGATGCGAGTTTGCGGACTCCGTGATGACGAACTTGGCGGGGTTCGAGCAGCTCGTCAGGGAGTGCACGGACCAGAGCGGCGAAGTGATTTCGGACAACATGAGGCGGGGCGTGATCATGTGGGGCATCAAGAACGAGAAGCTGGTGGACCACCTCAGCTTGACTGCTTCGCGCTTGGTCACGTAAGACGACCTGAAGACGGAGCTGAAGACGATCTGCTCATCCCAGCGACGTTGGGCAGCACCGGGCTCTGGAGGCGACGGCGTAGTCCCGATGGGGAGAAGGGTGATTCCAAGGGCAGGGACCGAGAGACCCGCAATTGCCACTACGGCGGCAACGCTGGCCACCTCGCAGCCGACTGCCGCAAGAAGAAGGTGGGCGAGAAGAAGGGCAGGGAGGTCGCATCTCTGACGGGCGCGACCCAGGTGCAGCCTTCCGGCTCGACGGCAACGACGGCGCTGAAGGGGGGCAGCATTGGCTCGCAGAGCAGCTTGGCCCCCGCGATCGACGTGTTTCATGTGGCAGCAGGTTCTAGCCCAGATGCAGCTGCAACAGCAGCGGAGTCCACCTTCGACGAGCGCTACCGTTCACATCGCGAACATCGTGGCAGGCGACGCTGACATCCCGACGCCCGAGGAGTACTACTGGCAGGTCGGCATGATGTGCGCCGCGACGCAGTGCGATGCGCTGCCAGTGACTGTCGGCGACTCGGTGGAGTTCGACTGGGCGCTCTTTGATACAGGCTCAGGGCTCACCACCTGCCCGCAGGAGTTCGCGAACATGACCGAGATGCCTCCGCCAAAGAAGTTGCCGCTTTGCGAGTCGGCGACTGGCGACGAGATCAAGTCCATGGGCGCGGGGATCGTGGCAGCCGAGAGCGACGGAGTACCACGATCGTGAAGCGCGCCATCGTGAGCGCCGACACCTTCACGGAGGGTGGTCACGTCCCGATCCTCGGCAGGGACCCCTGCATCCTGCTCGTGGGCGGCCGCAAGATCAAGCTGTGCACGAGTGGGAGGACGTTCTAGCTCAGGATCAGGACGCCCGTCGAGAACGTCGCCGAGCCGATCCTCGTCAACCCCGTGCAGCCGAACACTGAGGCCCGAGCTGTTCCGCACGAAGCACCTGCTGACGAGGGAGATGCAGAGCCTGAGGCCGACGCCGATCCACCCCGCCAGCGCCGCCAGCTGCCGGCGATGGCCAGGATCAACCAGACCAGGAAGGAGACCAACGTGAGAGCTTTCGACGACAGCGAGAAGTCGGAGCGCTAGTGCGGGTTTCTGGAGAAGCCGCGGCGGCTAAGGCGAGAGGGGCCCCAGTGATGCCAGATCGAGCGGTTCGAGACCAGCATCGTCTCACGCACTGGCCTTTCTGCGCGTGGTGTTTGTTCTGCATCGTGGGCCGTGGTCAGGGGGGCTCTCGCACGCGCTTAGCGGACCCCGGCCGCCTGAGCCCGCTGGTTTGCATCGACTACTTGTTCTTCGGAGACATCGAAGGCGACCCCCTCACGGCACTGGACATCCTGGAGTACAAGTCGGGCGCGATCGAGTGTGCGCAGGTGACCGTGAAGGGGCCTGCGGACTATGCCGTAGTAGTGACGACGGCGGCGATGCGCATGTGGGGCCTCCACCGCGTTCTTCTTGGGGCTGATGGAGAGTCCGCTATCCAAGGCTTTGTCCGAGCCGTGCAGCTGGCTCGAGAGGAAGAGACAGTGCCTCACAGCGGACCTAGGCGAAATCCCAAGAGCAAGGGGGCGATCGAGAACGCCAACAAGATGGTTGAAGGCATGTTCCCCACACTGAGGGCATCGATCGAGTCGAGGTAAAGCACCAAGCTCACCTTGAACCACTGGATCATGGGTTGGATGATTCGGCATGCAGGATGGCTCATGTCAAGGTACCCAGTGACGGAGGATGGCCTCACGCCCTACCAGCACCTGAAGGGCCGCGCGTACGGAGGAGCGATCTGCGAGCTCGGCGAGACGGTGATGTATAATATCCAGAACGTGGCCCACCACAAGGCGGATATCCGCTGGGGCAAAGCCGTCTGGGTCGGGAAGGACAATCGCACGGACGAGCACCTCCTGGCGACCGCTGCTGGTCGGATGGCGGCGAGGACGATCAGCAGGCGAGTTGAGGGCCAGCGATGGTCCAGGAGCCTTTGCAACAAGGTCGAGTGCACGCCGTGGGGCTTTCCCGCAGGACCTGAGGCAGCACCGCCTCCCCCGCGCCGCGGCTACATCGCGAGGGCCATCATCGATCGAGTTGGACCTGCACCTGGTTGCGACGGCTGCTACGGGCTTGGCCACCCACGCACCGAGTCCTGCAGAGATCGGATCGAGAGCCTGCTCAAGGCCGAGGAGGACAAAGACAAGCAGGAGGCAGCAGTTCGATCAGCCGCCTCCGCAGCAGCTGCAGCACCCCCAGGAGGTGGAGATCAGCCTGGGCAGCCTGCGCCCGCCGACGAGCAGCCTGCACCAGCAGCATCGGCTCCAGCACCACCTGCTGTCCTACATGGTCCAGAGGCAGATCAAGGCGGGCGACCTCGCAGGCGTCGGCTTGAAGCAGATGCTCCCTCGAACCCGATGCAGGAGGAACCTCCAGCGCAGGAGCAGCAGGGCGGAATGGAGCTCGGGATGATCGAGATTGGGACGGGACCGTGGTGACGGAGAAGCCGAGGAGGACGCATAAGGTGATCGCGGGCCTGTCTGTCATTGTGGCGACCGCACTGCTGGCGGCATTGACGTGCGACGCCATTCCCTACGACGACGAAATGGACACCAACAAGCACAGCCTCTACGACAGGGAGTCGACCTGCCAGAACGTGTTCGGGGCTAGGTCAGGGAGGAGGCTGGACCCTTCCTTGGTGAAGCAGGGCAGGGAGAAGGAGCACAGGCAGATGGAGGAGTTCCAGATCTTCGACCGCGTGTCTAAAACTTTCGCGAAGGGCAAGCGCGTCCGTGGGAAGTGGGTCGACGATGAGCGCTGCGACGACGACGGCGTGGAGTCGGTCAGGTCGCGCTTCGTGGCCATGCAGTTCGCCTAGGACGTGCGGGGCGACACTTTCGCAGGCGCGCCACCGCTGGCCGCGTTCAGGCTGGTGGTCTCCTTCGCATCAAGCTTCTATTCCACGGGAACCGGCTGCGACGGCATGCTCGCTCTCTATGACATGTCGGTGGCGTTCTTCCACGCGTATATCAACGAGGACATCTACGCGGTGCCGCCCAAGGGAGAGGAGCCCGAAGGCATCGTGTATCAGTTGAAGAGGGCACTCTACGTCATCAGGAGGGCCTCGTTCTTGTTTCAGAACCTGATCTTGGAGGTCATGGAGAAAGGAGGCTTCGCCCGCATCAAGGTGAAGGTTCAAGTCTACTACCACAAGGAGCGCCTGCTGATGGTGATTGTTCATGGTGACGGCTTCCTGGCTGGAGGAAGGGTTAGACGTGCTCGACTGGCTGGATGAGTTGGTGACAGGTCGCTTCAAGGTCAAGGTGATGCCCAGGGTTGGGAGCCCGAGGCAAGGAGGAGTTGAGTCAGGCAGCTTCCTCGAGCGCACAGTGAAGTGGTGTCCCGAAGGTTTCGGCATCATGCACGATTGTAAGCATGTGGAGACCCTGGTTAGCACCATGCTCAGCAGGAAGATCGGCGATATCAACACCACCAAGCGCACGATCACCCCGTCTTGCAAGACAAGCGGGAACGACTGCAGAGAGTCATCCGACGAGCCCAGCACGGAGTACGCGACCACCTACCGCAGCATGGCGCCTACCGCACTCTACGTCGCACGCGACCGCTTCGACATCCAGCAGGCCGTCGGCTACCTCATGAGGGGCATGGTGGCACCGATTTGGCACCATTTGGCTACTGCTTCAACGCTTGGCCAGCTACCTGGAGCAGCACACGCAGTTCGAGCCCTTCTTCGAGTTCCAGAGGATGCCGAATGTTATCGTGGCGGAGGTCGACAGCGACTGGGCATCATAGCGTGGTCGGAGGCCCGTGGGCGGTGGCTTCCTGTTCATCGGCTTGCACCTGATCGACGGCTGGAGCGGCCAGCAGGGCAACCGCGCCCCGAGCGTCGCCGAGGCGGAGTTCGCGGGCATCGTGAACGGAACGGCGAGGGGCATTTGGCTCCGCAGCGTGATGTTGGAGATGGGCTTCGGGGTGACGCTGCAGCACATCACGGGCAGCTCTGGAGCCAAGGGCATCGCATCGCGCCCCGGATGCTGCATGGTGCGCCACCTGGAGACGAAGAACCTCTGGGTGCAGGAGAAGGTCAGGTATCCGACCATCACGATGGCGAATTTCCACACGGATGTCAACAGGGCCGACATGCAGACAGAGCCGCTGGAGGGGCCGAGATTCCTGAAACTGCTGGCGTTCCTTCCACTTCGGACACCGTCCTCAGGGCGCGCGCAGGTGTTCGGGGTCACGCTGGCGGCCACCATGCTCGGTGGAGTTCAGGGCTCGGCAGTCCTTCCATACAACCAGGCGGTGATTGTGGTGAGCAGTTCGACCGTGGCGGAGCGGATCTGGACGACGATGCTCACAGCGATGTTCGGCTCGACGTTGGCGATCCCATTCCTGGCGACGTGGATCGTGTACCGCATATACAAGGCGCCGTTGCGGTTCCTTAAGGGCTTGTGGGAACTCGTGAAGGCCGACGAGGACGAAAACGGACTGGTGGCGCGTCCACCGGCTGGGGAGGAGTATGAGCAGTCAACCGACAGGCTGGAGATCGAGGACTGCTGGCGGCCAGGCCGACACACGCAGACGGTGCCCGTGCCGCACTATTGGACGTGGAGCGCAGTGGGCCTCAGAGCGGAGTGTGAGCGCCTGAGGATCTACCACGGTCAGCTCAAGGTGCAGATGATCGTGGACCTGCTCATCGGGGCAGGGCGCAAGTGAATGATTCTTCTGGTGCGGTGGCACCGCCTTTTCACGTTTACGAAGCATCTGCAAGAGCTGGCGTCGCCTGTTTGCTTTTCCCTCTCGCACGGGCTTGAGGGCGCGAGAGGATGAAGCCCAGCGTCGCGGCGCTGGACCTCGGAGGAGAAACGAGATAGGCCCGCGGGCGAAGGTACCAGATCTTGTTTGAGCTAGGATGACCCAGGACGGCTTCTATTCAGTAGATGTGCCCCAGGCTAAGCCCAGGGCCCAAGGAGGAGTGCAGTACAGAAACACTCCCCCTCGAAAGGTTTCGGATATGCTTAGCACACGTTTGGAACGAGAGTTGTTTCGGATCGGGTTTAAGGCTCGACTGATGTTTCAGCGTTTGACGTTGCCGCAGCCGTTCTGGCTCTAGCGCCCTGAGGTGACAGAGATCCTCTCGAAGCCCACTGTTGATCATGTGATACTAGCGCGATTCCGCGGAGTGCTTCTGTTGTATGTTGTGCGTTTTGATGCAATTGGTTTATTGGTTGTGACAGTGGCTAATCGTTTTTTTGTTGTTTGTGTGTTTTTTCCCTCCCACAACAAACACACAAACAGTTATGCTTTGTCTTTTTCCCCGATCATTTCTCGTATGCTCGTATTTTTCGTTGTTGCTGTTTCCTACGGTGCTCCATCTGTCTCTTGCGTGTGGCGTCTTTGATTGGTCCCGTCTCTTTTGTTGATCACGTTGCCTGTCGTGTTTCCGTGTCGTTTGCTCTTCTTTTTTCTTTTGTTGTTCTTGTTTTCTCTCGTGCCCCTATGTTTTGTTGTTCTTGTTGTCAGTCGAGTTCCCCTGTCTTTTGCTGTTTGCGTTTTTTCTCTCTGTTGTTTTCGTGTCGATGATTGCCTTGGTGTTCTCTGCTGTTGTTCCCCTGGCCTGGGTCGCGCTCACCGCCGGCGCCGTCGATTCGTTCGGGCGAGTCCGTTTCCAGAGGTAGGAAAGGGTGAGAGTAGGAGGGCAGGGGGAGGAGGAGGAGGAGGAGGCAAAGGAGGAGGAGGAGGAGGAGGAGCAGGAGGAGGGGGAGTAGCAGGAGGAGGAGGAAAAGGAGGAGGAGGAGGAGGAGGAGGAGGAGGAGGAGGAGGAGGAGAGGAGGAGGGAATCGTTTCGAACGAAGTACATGCCGATGGTTATCCGTGGTATCCCTGGTGAGTCATCCCCATCAAAGTTTCAACGCTTCCCTTTGGTGCCCTTGATGTTCTGTTCAATCTAGATGTGACTGAAGCGTGTGGACGAATCGGCACACTGGAGTTTAAATGACTCGAGATATATTGCAGTGGGAGTGCATCTGGAACTCAGTGACCACAACAGATGTGTACATACATTTCTTGCATATCTGTATACCCGTACTATACACATTCTCCGCGCGAGCAGCTAAGCACGAATCCGAATGTGTAGTCCAAAACCCGGATAGCAGGACACCCGAAGGGCGTGGAAGGGCCTGGCGAGGCCCTCTGGAAGGACCTGGAGAGAGCTTCCGAAGCTCCTTCTGAAAAGCTTCCGGGCAGGCGTATTGGGAAACGTTTAGAAAAGGCCCTTCGGAACAGGCTAGAGGGTCAAGCAGGGCGCTCCGTGGAGCCCTGCCCGCCGCCGAAACGAGCTCCTGGCCACCCTGCAGCTCCAGCTTCATAATATGAAACCCTCTTAGCTCTCCAAGAAGCTATCCGGGAATAATACAGCGTTCCGAAGAATTGGCTTGATCACGATTCTTTGACACACCATCTCACGCATACGAATGGTCTGCGACCGGTGGCCTTGAGCGGCCGTTCGCACGGACAACGGGCGATATCAGCTGGCCAACAAGTCGATGAATGACGTTCATTTTCCTTTTTTCGTTTTCTCTTCTCTTCTCCAGCCTCCTTTCGTTCCCCTCCCTCTTTTCCCTTCCTTCCTTTATTGCTCGTTCCGCTGTTAAGCTAGGCGGTTCGCAGTACTCTTAAGGGTCTGTATGTTTTTCTTTGTAGCAAGTGCCGATTTGAAGTCTTTCGGAGATTATGGATCGAAATCCATGTCCAATCTTTTTGGGCCCATCACTTCCTGCTACTGCCTTTTCGCCGTTCAGTTGCATGTTCGATGGTGGTTTTCCTTGGGTTCCGTGACAGGGCAAGACCAGCCATAGTAGCTAGATTGGAGTTGGCAAACGCCAGAGACTTGCAATAATGTTTGTAGATATCATATCTATTAGATCTGACAACATGTAAGAGATTTTCGGGATGTGCCTGCTAGAGGGGCCAGGGGGGATAGAACAGGCAGAACTGGTAAGAGTGTTGACGGAATTTTCGACCAGTGTAGTAGGCATCCGCGAAATGAAAGCTGCCGTAGTCATGACCATTGCCTGAATGATAGGCTGGGGATTGTATTCTGGGGCATGGTGAAGCGCAGCAGTATGATCACGATAAGAAAGCACAGTAAAAGCTCGACGTCGAGGTCGGTTTGTCCACTATGTGAGTCTCGTTATTCGCGCCTTGGCACTGTATGGTTTCGCTGTGAATCGGCTCGTGTGGGCACGCTGGGCACGAGCAGCTCAACACAGTCTCGCTCTGACGGCAAGAGGGTGGCCCACGGCGCGCCTCCCCGCGGGATCCTTTTTTATCCGACGTAGGCAAGTGTGTTGCGCGTGTGGGTAACGCGTTCTGCCTGGTGGGTACTGCGTGCGGGCGTGTTTGGTTGTTGTCGTGGTCGCTCTCTCAGCTACCCCACTGTGCATTACGCAGCGTTCCCATGGTGTCAGCGCTGGTAGAGATTCCGGTATCAACAGGATGTCAACTCAACTCGGGATTCTAGTGTTCGTAATCATCGGCGCAGTGCGCTCGTGTGGCCAGTTTCGAAGAGCAATCGGAGTTGAGCGCGTTCGCCCTTCAGGCAGTTGGCTCAGCACTTGTATTTGTCTTGATCAGTTTTGCATCGTACTACCTGGCGTTGCCTGACCCATCTATTCTACTACAGGTCTCAATGTTGCGCAAGAGTGGTTGTGCGTTTTTTTCATTCCGTTCATATGGGAACCATGAAGTATAAGCATTTGCCAATCATGTAGCGGTATGCTGACAAGCTATTGTCGTCAAAACCGTTTCTTTTATTCCGTGTCGTATCTGTGTGAGTTGTCACCCATTCGTATTATCACAATGTGTTTCCCGCGCGTTCGACAAATTGTCAGGTCGATTTGGCAGGCTCGTGCGGGGCTTCCACGTGTGCTGCCAGCGGGCCCACACGTCTCCGTGTGGGCTACGGTTCGTTGGAGCCCCCTGTGCGGTTGGCGTTGTCGCTGCTTTGTTTGCTACCACGAGCCCAGGAGGTTGGAGGCATGCTTTCGGAATGGTTGGGCATGAGAAGACATCAGGCGTTGACCAATGCATTGTTTCAGGCTTCGTGTACGGGTCAGGAACGAGACAAACACGTCAGCGTACATTCATTGACACGGGTCTCGCAAGGGCGCATGGCGCGATCGTTCGTGAGGTGAGGGTCGGCACCGCGAGTTGGGGGGCGTGTTCATGTTCGTGGCTGGGCGCGTATGCCCTTGTCGGGCTCCCTGTCATCGGCGGCGCGCCCGGGGGGGAAGTGAGAAGGAGCGGGCCTTTTCAGAAGGAGTCCCGCGGCCTTTGAGAAGGCCTTCTCCTTCTCATCTCGCCCCCTCGCTCGCCTTCGATATCAGGGGACCCGCCAAGCCAAGAGGGCAAACACGTGTCTGGCGTGCGACGGAGGCCCAGGTCGGCCTCGTCGTCTGGGCGCAACGGGCGCATGTGCCCATTCTCCAGGTCCTGCCAGCAACCCGCGGCAGCAGCACAGACGTACGCCTGGTTACGGGCTGCATGGTTTGCCTCGTTCAGACATCGAGTATACAATGCCCCCCAACCCTAGTAACATCATGAAGGCGTGGCCTCACTTGGTCCCCGTCCTTGCATCAAAGATGATGATTGTGGGTGGTTTGGCTTGATACATCTGCCCAGAAGGCCCCCTATCCCTTATGTTTTGGGCCTCTCAATTCAGGTCGTCTCCAAAAGGGTTGGGGGTCTTTTTATTGCTAGTCGTTCAGCTCTCTCAGGCTGCGGGCTCCTCAGATGTCCGGCGCCGCCAACTTGGCCGCCAGCTGGGCTGCCAAAAGCCCAGCACCCGGCGTGAAGAACGAATTCCGCGACCCCCTGCGAACCGTACCCTTGCGAGTCCAATCTTCATTCGGATGCACCCTTCCTTCAAATTCTGATCCTTCACCCGTGTTTCAGAAATTTGACTTCCAGAGGCACGGTTCATGTGGTGATGCAGGGCGGTTGCTGTCTGGATTCCACGCGCGAAACCTGTCCACGGGATTGCGCGTCCATGGGATCGCGCCTCGGTGTCCAAGACGCGAGGACATGGACGCGGGAAAATGTTTCGCAGGTCGAACGGGGCCAGCAGGCCACCGTTCACGTTTTGATGTTGTCCTCCTGGCTTCTTGGGGGGGGGACGAGCGCACACCTCTGCGGTGGGGAGCTGGGGGCCCCCGTGCGCAGTGGTGGTGATGGAGGAGGTGGCACGGGTTCAAAGAGACAGCGGTGGCCTGCGTGTTCCTCTCTGGCTCTTGCATGCTGGCCAATTCGCTTTTCGGTGCCCCCGCCTAGCACTATCGCTGGTGCAGCCAACTCTGCACCGCCGCCGACGAGAAAAGTGTGCTCCTCTCTCTCTCTCTCGCTTGCTTGCTTGTTTGTTCTTTTGTCGTTGGTTGTTGATTTCCATTTGTCGCCAGGGCAGGGCTGTGTTCGCCACGCCACGCTACGACCGTGGCTGTGCCGCCAGGGGGCAGCGGTCATGCACAGACTTTTGGCACTTGGTCTCGGTGTGCATGGGCAGGGTGCTGCGCGCTCTGAGCTCAGAGCTCTCTCCTCTGTTCCTCCTCCGCGGCCGCTCTCCCTCTCTTCCGCTGATGTCGGTGCGCTTTCTGCTCTGCCGCGCCCGCCCCGAGCTGCTCGACAAACCTCCGGGCGCCGCCCTCGCCCCGCCCCTCCTCTTGGCGACCCCCGCGTGCGCCCGGCGCCCCTCGCGGCGCTCGCCGCCCCGCGCCTCACACCCACCGCCCCCCCTTCGGACGACGCGCTCCCTCGACGCCTCCTCGTCCTCCTCCTCCTCCTCCTCCCTCCTCCTCCTCCTCCTCCTCCTCCTCCTCCTCCTCCTCCCTCCTCCTCCTCCTCCTCCTCCTCCTCCTCCTCCTCCTCCTCCTCCTCTCCTCTCCTCCTCTCCTCCTGCTCCTCCTCCCTCTTCCTCCTCCTCCTCTTCCTCCTCCTCTTCCTCTTCCTCCTCCTCCTCCTTCCCCCCTCCTCCTCCTCGACTTCCTCGACTTCCTCCCGACGTTCACGCGGCGAGCGGGGGGGGGCAAGTGAGAAAGGGGGAGGCCTTCTCAGAAGGCGGCCCGGGTTCTCGGAAGCCCTCGCGCGCCTTTGAGAGGTCTTCTGTGCCTTGTGGGGAAGGCTCAGCAAGGAGCTTCTCAGGAGGCCGGCGGCCTTCCGAGTTTTCTGAGAAGGCCCGCACCTTCTCATTTCATTCGGTAGCAAATCATGGGAGCCTGGTGTACCCTCTTAATTCCGTCTTTAGCGTCGATTAGCGTCTGGAGGTAGCGCCGATTTAGTGTCGGCTAGCGTCGATTTAGAGTCGAGTCGCGTGGATTTAGCGTCGACTAGCGTCGATTCGCAAGAGCCGACAAGATGGCATGCGAGGCTCCCATGCGTTGCCACCGAACCTTCCCCCCCTCGCTCGCCGCCGATCCTCGGCGGACGCAGGAGCTGCTGCTCGACCCCAGCGGGGGCGCCCCCGCCGCTGGTGGCGCCCGGGTGCAGCTCCTGCGAGGCGCGCCGCGCGCCCCTCTCAGGCCTTGGAGCCTCTCGGGGGGCCTTTGAGGTGGCCCAGCACCGGTTGTGGGAGCAGGAAGCGCACCACCAGGACCACCACCACCACCACCACCACCACCACCACCACCACCACCACCACCACCACCACCACCACCACCACCACCCACCACCACCACCACCACCACCACCACCACCACCACCACCACCACCACCACCACCACCACCACCATTACCACCACCACCACCACCACCACCACCACCACCACCACCACCACCTCCCACCACCCACCACCACCATTACCACCACCACCACCACCACCACCCACCACCACCACCACCACACCCACCACCACCACCACCACCACCACCACCACCACCACCACCACCACCACCACCAACCACCACCACCACCACCACCACACACCACCACCACCCACCACCACCACCACCACCACCACCACCACCACCACCACCACCACCACCACCACCACCACCACCACCCACCCACCACCACCACCACCACCACCACCACCACCACCACCCACCACCACCACCACCACCACCACCACCACCACCACCACCACCACCACCACCACCACCACCACCACCACCACCACCACCACCACCACCACCACCTGGGGGGAGTTAGGATGAGCTGATGTGCGGGATGCGGGTGTGCACGATCTCCCGCGAGAGCGCCCGAAACGAGAACCACCACCACTGCCCCTGACCACCCTCTGCCTCCATCCTCCAGGTGGTGGTGGCGGTGGTGGTGGTGGTGGTGTGTTTTCTTCTCCCGTTGGTTCCGGCCAGCAGGGAACTGTACCAGATGGACCCCGAGAGGGGTCTGGGGACCGATTTTGCTCGGATTTTGGCACATTCCCCCTTTTTTGACCGCTTGCCTGGCGCCCCAGCCAGTTCAGACCCTCCCGGCCGCCTCCGAGTTCCAAGATGCGTCCCTGAGGGGTTCGCTCCTGACTAGACTGCCCCAGCCCAACCCGAAGGTCCTAGACCCCCCCCAAAAAATTTTGGGGTGGGGGGTGTGCGGGTTATACTATGCTTTCTCGATGTTCCAGAGTGCCCCCCCCGCTTGAAGTTGGCAGGCCCAACGGCGACTTCGGGTTGGGTTGGGGTGGTTTGGTGGGTAGTCAGGGATGGGTCTGACATCCTTTTTTCTTCTCCCAACGGGGGCGCCTGCATCAGGGCGGCTGGGAAGTTTATGTGACCTCACGGTGGCAAGAGGGGGCGCGTGAGCTTTCCAGCCGCCCGGGGACAGGTGCCCCCCTATGGTGGCGGAAGAGCTTACTCCATTTTTT